AACAGTAGTCGGAGGCCGAGTTCTGCGCATGGGCGTGGCTTTGTTCCGTGACAGCGCCCGACGCGTCGCCTTAGTGGGACAGCGTCTGACCGTATGTCTGACCGCCGCCCGACGAAAACTCGTCGCCGCCGACTACTATTCTTATTTTGAACAGAGTAATAGTATTAGGCCATTTGGACACAGTTTACTGCTAGATACAAGTGCAACTCGTACGGCCGTAATGATTTATTATCACTAATATAGTAGGTATTTGTTATTATATTATTATAGATGGTGAGGAAATAACAAATCTGCAGTACCGAGATAATTTTGATAGAAACAAAAGTTGCAGAAAATACAAGCTTACAAAATTCAAAAATAGCATAGTATGAATCAATTAATTGTATAAATACATATGGCCATAAATAGGTTAGGTGCTATTATTTTGAAATGAAAATAAAAATTAATTGTATGTGTTGGTATCTATAAATTATAGGTAATCTATATAATTAAGAATTTTCATAAATTATTTATTGAAAACATAAAAATAAAACACTTTCTGAATGTAATGGGCACTAACGGCAATCGTCACCTAAACTGCTAAGCATGGAATCCTCTGAATAATCCTAAATTATTTTTATTTTTAAAAAATTAATTTAGATCCAGTTTATAATACCTATTGTATATTATTTATGGTTTAATTGTGGATTAAGCATATTTACTGTAATTTACTAAATGACTAATAGTTCAAATAACATGTTCTCCCTACGTATTTTTATCTCTGGGGTTGGGTTAATCGTTATGCATATTAGAATTGTATTATTAAAATTTTTATGAATTTCTAACTCGAAATATTTTGCAAATTTTCGTGATTTTTCCATATTTTGTCATTTTTTGAACTTTAAATGCTTAAAAAAAAAAACTGTGACTAACAATTTTTAATATTTTTCATCTGTCTTTGAAACAATATAGTAGGAGCCTTGTATTAAATTTTCAAGTATTTTTACTCAACAAATACATTTTTATTGATATTCATTAAAAAAAAAACTAATAAAATTGGAAACTGAAAATGTTCTTAAACAGTTCAAAATAAATCAAAATATTTTTAAAATGTTATCGTGTACAAAAAATGCAAATATAAACAACCACTGAAAATTTCATGTATCTACGGTCATTTGTTTTAAAGTTACACCAAAAACCAAAATCGATTTTCTCGAAAACAGATTTTGCTTAAAAATTCCCGTTTTTCCTTAATTTTTCTTTTGTTTTTCCCGGCGCTTTTGAAAACTACTGGGAAATTTAACTTTGACCTCCCCAATGCACCAACGATATTCACTTTCCAATCGAACAAGATACTGAAGTTGAAAATCGAAGCATTAATTCGACTACTTATCGTGTACACAGACACAAAAAAAATAAAAAAATAAAAAAACACACATCATTGTAAAATCAATACATTCATCGTTCCACTCAGAATCTAAAATGTCTATAAGAAAGTCAAATTAAATTTTTATGAGCGTTTGAAATTCAAATTTTTACAACATTGGATATTCACTCGATCTCTCATGTAGCAATTTTCTTATTTTGTTGTACTCAAAAACGAATAACTGTAGATACATGAAAATTTCACTGAATGTTTTTATTAGTATTTCCTATACACACCATACAATTTTGAAAATATTTTTACTGTTTTTGAACTGTTTAAGGACATTTTCAGTTTACAATTTTTTAATTTTTTTTTCTATAATTATCAATAAAGTTTTATCTGTTGGGCCAAAAAGTGTAAAAATGTAATACAAGGCTCCTGATATATTGTTACAATAGCAGTTGAAAAATATTAAAAATACATAGGCCCAATTTTTTTTATAAGAATTTAAAGATAGAATTTCGACAAAATGTATCAAATTTAAAATTGAATAATTATTATGTAGTTAAAAATTTATAAAATGTTCAACTTTTATATACAGGTGTATCTTATGTCATTGTACGCGGGGTTTTTTGACGATTACGGAACGATGATATGGAATTTCGTTAAAACGAAAAAAGACGTGTTTCTTTATTTTTAACAAGCAATTTTTTTATAACAATTTCAAAATTTTTAAACACACAGGTGTACCAATAGCAAAATCAACTTTTTTTTTTCAAATGGTAACCACTATATTTTTTAATGGATTCTTATAATGCTTTTTTTTCTGAACATTTTGGTAGTCGAATCGTCAATTTTGGTTCGCTAGTTTATTAACTATGGTCCTCCAAAGATTAGTAAAATATGCATTAATACTTTTAATTAAAATAATGGGTATAGGTTTAATTTACAAGCGCTAAACAATTTTTTCTTATAACTACCATTTGATACACTACAATAGTTGAATCGGTAATCCAATGACACCCTCAAAAAAATAAAAAATAACAAATAACAAACACAATTGTTTGTAAACATACTATTCATTAATTTTATTTTAATTTTTAACATACGATCATAAAAATCAATATTATTATTTTAATATCCAAAACTAAAAGGGATGGAAAGGGATGAATTACAACTCCTAAGTTCATATTTTGGATGCGATACCATTATAGGGAATTTATGGTTAAAATATCAAGTTTATACTTTATACCAATACGAAAATAGCACCACAAAACATTGCACTTTTTTCGTTGCACTTGCACATATAATGTAAACAATCGAATAACATTACCAATTTACCATTATTACCTTAGCCACCTACCTAATTAAGAATTCAAATTTATGATATTGTAAGAAAAATAACTGTGATGAAAAAAATGTAAAGTAATTAATTACGATTATAATAATAAATTAAAATAATAATATTGATTTTTATGATCGTATGTTAAAATAAAATTAATGAATAGTATGTTTACAAACAATTGTGTTTGTTATTTTTTATTTTTTATTTTTTTGAGGTGCATTAGATTACCGTTAACTTTGTAGTGTATCAAAGGTAGTTTAAGAAAAAGTTGCTGTTACCAACTTAAATAAAGTATTTAAAATTTTACACTCGAAAAACTGCGATTCGCTACAAACCAGTATAGATCATAAAAAATATGTGGTACCATAGTATTTTGAATTACCCAAATTTGAAATTGTTATAAAAAAATGTTAAATAAAGAAACGTCGCGAAAATATTAAAAAAACCATGACATACGATATGTATAGGATTGAAATTTACAACTAGATTCTTACGTTTAGTGGTTAATTCTGTTACCAAACAACTCTAAAAAATACATAAGCACAGTTTATTTTTATAGTAATTTTAATTTCAAATTTTGATGAAAGTACATATTAAAAAACCTAGAATAAGTATTTTAATTTTTTCTTTGGGATTGTATTATAATGTTATTCAGGGTGTACTTGAAACTTCTAAAGTAGGTATACTATTATGTATCTATGATAGTATCACGGTTTGTTGTTGCAGATGTATAACGCGTTATAAGTAGGTACCTAATGGATATTGTGATATGATTAATTTGGAATTTATTATAGGTAGGTACCTATTATATATTTATATGTCAATTTTTTTAATACCATAAATAAGTATATAATATGTCTTATACCTAGACTGACATACCGTCCCGGCTCAGAATCGTTTTTCTTATACAATAATATTATATTATCATTGAATTCAAATTTAATACCATCCATTATAGAGTGACCCACTTGTAACCTACTGTACAACAGAGCACCTTTTTTATACTTCACAAACGCACATCTATACAATTTTGTACAATAATCATATAGGATAAGGGTTATTAAAAACATTGATTTCTTGAATAAGATGCCACCCTTTAGTGACACTTAGCTTTGTGTTTTGTTTATGGTAATTAAGGAGGGATATTTAATTTAAATGGTCACGACACCATTTCTTTTGAGTCTACGTTGTGGATTTCCGGGCAGTGAGAAGGTATGTAGCTCTTTTATTAATGGGTTAGCCGTTAGGGTGATTATCAAAAAAAAGTTTGTAAAAAAGTTTCACTTTGGCTATAACTGCAAGGAGAATACCTAGAAGTTAGTATAGAGTTAAATTAGAGACAAAGAAGGGAGCGTTAGTGATGTTTCTAAGAGTAATATTCTGAAAGACTTGAATTTTTATTTAAATTTGAATTTTTGGACCGATCCCCAGAATTGTATCCAAATATCCATGGCTTTAGGAGAGTTTTGTATACAAGTAATTTGGTTTTTAATTTAGTAAATTTATTTTTTGATAACAGTGTTTTTAGCAATCTTAATCGAGCTTTAAGGATCAATCTTTTAGCTTTTAAATGTTTGCTCCAAGATTTGGTCAAGAATTAATCCTAAATATTTAATAGCATTGAGGGGTGGGATGGGTATGTTATCAGTTGAAACATTTGGACATTGACTGTCGACTGTGTGTCTGTGTCTCCACCAATAGTTAAAAGATATTTTTTCGAAAAGCGGGGAAATAGTATGAAACACCGACTCTCACTAACATTATCTCTTATTTTTTTATTGATTAGTGATATCTGATAAGCAACAATAACCAAAACACTAAAGTTGTTTATTTGTCCCAATTTTTCATGCCAAAGCCCGTGTCCGGTATCGTGTAAATCGTTGGTTATTGCCGGAGTACTGCGCTATCTATTGGGTAAAAAACGGTTTTTGAGTAAAATGTGTTTTTTGACTTGTTTAGGAACTCTGCAATTTCTTATCAAATATTGCTAGCGGAACATACGTCGTTGTTTACACTCCTTAAAAATGTTCAAATTTTTGAAAAACACAATACTTTATTTACATAATTAATTTTGAATATATTTGCGTAGACTTCTAACATACCAATTTTAGGCGAGTATCAAATATTTAAATAATTTTTGTACCAACATTTCTCGTATGTATTTTACCTTTAAAATTAGCACGTGTTTATGTTCATTAACAAATTAAAAAGAAATAGTAATGTGTACTAGTGATGAAAGGAAAATACTGTTATTTCGATTCCATACTGGAGTTTTGTGTGTCCATTAGTGAAACTTAAAAGTTGTAAATCATGAATCATGCAAATAATTGGATTGATTTATGTGATGAGCAAGCCAGAGTCAATGCTGAGCACCTAGTGTCATCATTTTCATCTCGGCCATCGACCAGGCAGGAAGTACTCGGTCATTACATTAAAGTATTTGCATCTCATTTTAAACGTGAATGTGATAGATACAATTGGCCAGACAATGATTCTGGCAACAGTGATTCAGATACAGAGTCTATGGTCACGGTCAAGAAAAAGCCTTTTTTTAGGTAAGTTAGAATTGTTGATGTAGGTACTTATATGGCTATATTGGCTATATCATACATTTTATATTCTACAAATATTTACTTATTTGTTGTTTTTTTTGTAGACGAATGTCATTTAGAGCTCTTCGTCCATTGTTTCACAAACAGCATTCTGATGAGGTAGAACTTGATGCTGCATCTATAATGTCTCAAAGACCTATAAAATGTAAGAAAAAGCTGGCCAAAATTATTGTCGAATGTCGCAAGGAAGGTATAGTAAACTATCGGTTGGGTGAATCATTGGATGGCGGTGAACCCAGATGGGAAAAAGCAAGACTTGCTTTGGTTAAGAATACAGATGGTTACACCTTAGAATTTTATTGTCCTCCTAAGGTATAGTATAATTTTTAAATTTTTAAACTTAGTGTCACGCTTTAATATATTTTATTTTTGCATTTTGATCTATAATATTTTGAATTGTTGATAAGTAATAAATGTAATACATTTAGTTAAAAAGCAAAAAATTAAATTATTAATTATACACATTTTTAAATTGTAGTCCTTGAAATCAAAACATGGGGTGTTTTGTTTTTTGATACAAGATGCTAGAGAAACCAAAGAAATTGAAATGCCAGAACGATATGCTAATACATTTGTACTGAAAGTAATTATCTAACCATTATAACTTTTAACTTATAAGTACTAATGTGTCATATATAATATAAATAATAAAATATTTAATTTGGTATAAAACTACTTATAAATTATTCATTTTTGTATGTATTTATATAGGATGAAAACAATGTTGAATATATAATTGACGCCTTAAGTCCAGAAGAAATGCGTCAATGGCTTGCAACTGTAAAATATTGCATGCGTAAACGTGATGGTTTGCATGATGATATAAGGTGATAATTTGATCTGAATATACTTGTTTTCTAAAAAATAGTGGTCATTGAAACTTATGAATTTATTTTGTGTAGTATTATTGGAAGTATTGATGGTGTGTTAGATTCATCAGTTGCACATTCAAATGACACATTATTAAGCTCACCTCAGAGTTCCACCAATAATTTGGATACTATTTTAAACAATGATGTTGGTAAGTATTAAGTAGAATGTAAAGAGTAATAGCAAATTATTTAATTTTACCATAATTTTTTTTTTTTGTTAAAGAAAATGATATATCGGCATCTCTTCGCCTTTATCCATGGTTTCATGGTATGCTGGCCCGATCTGATGCTACTAATTTGGTGTCACACTTAGGCACTAATGGACATGGAATGTTTCTAGTCAGACAGTCTGAAACTCGAAAGGGTGAATATGTGTTGACATTTAATTTTAAGGGAAAACCAAAGGTATTATTAAAATTTAGATATATTATTTCGGCTATCATGCCGTAAGGCGCTCTACCAGTGATATTACAAATGCAGTATGTGCTTAACTGATATAATAGTAATTTAATTTGTTTTTTATAATGCCAAATATAATTTAGATTTTAAGATACATATAATTGTATACAATTTAATTTTTTTTAAATTTGGTTAGGTAACTTCAGACATGTGTCAGTAATTCCATAAAAATAAACGTAGATATAAATAATTAAATCAACATTTTTCCATTGCTGTAGACAGCAGACAGCAGTCTTAGTTTGTCAACCACCAATGAAACACATTTTATGGTAGAGCGCATTACAAAATGATAGTCAATTTTTTAAAATTAACTTTCAACATACATTTCACATTTACGCATGAAAAATTATAAAAATATATGATACATTTTATACTTAGCATTTACGAATGACACTAAACGACCAAGGACACTGTCGAGTACAACATTTATCATTCCCTAGTATACAAGATATGCTTGAACATTTTCAAACGCATTTAATACCTTTGGAGAATGGTGGACCTGGCGATGTAACTCTCAGAGATTATATACTAAACACCCCAATTAAATATGGAGTGTTTCCAAGCAATACCAATATTGATTTTATTGTTATTACTCGTGATCCAAATGCCCCACTAACTCTAAACATGGATCACGGACTTCGACCTGTAGCACCTCAACTATATAGAGAAGTACTTATATGTCTTGATATAATATAGTATTATACATTTATAAACATACCTAATTGTTAATAAAAACTATATTTTTATAGTTTAAGACAATGTTGGCTCCTATTAGAACCAAAACAAAAGACTTGCAGACAGACTTTACTAATCGGTCAACACCAGAACCTGGATTGGGAAATGTTGTAAGAGCAGTTAATAACCAGTATACACTAAGATAGTTATAATGAGATACCCACCTGTATAATTTTGTTCAGTATTAAACGTGTAAATAATTTATTATTATTGTTATAAAATATATCTTATTATTTTGCCGAGTTTCTTCTCGTGTTTGTGTGTTTTTGTCTTTGCTTTAAAATCCAGTTAGGTTTTGTTTATGTTTATATTGTACTTCAACTTTCATGTTCAATTATTCAATCAAGTATTCTTTAATCATTTAAGTTTAATTAACAATTGGAAATGTTAAGAGATTTATTTATTCATAACTTACTAATATATTTATTTGACAAAATATTTATAAATTTTAAATTGCCTCTTATAACATATAAGTTAGCAACTTTTAGTCAAATTTGGTTCCTTACCATCCTTTTAATATATTTATTTATAGTAAAAAAAGTAGTGCTTATGAAAACAAATGAATATTTTATTGTATTATTATTTTCATTTTGAATAATTACCGTCAACATGTATTAATGAAATCAATATTTATAATTATAATAAATATATAAATGTCAAACAATTAAAAATTATCGGCATTTAATTTTTTTCATCAATGTTTACACGTTAGTTTATTTTTTTAAAGCTTAAAATATTTCACTCTTTAATTACAATTTACAGCAGCACTTTAGTTGATTAAATTAGAAGTAAGTAGTTGTAATTTGTATTATGGATTATGATTATTATTATATGTGTTGTTTGTGATATATTATGATTTTCCATTTAATTCGGGGACAATTATTGGCCATCCTGAAACACTTTATTGATAGTAGTTTTTGAGTCTATTAAATTCGGATGACCTAACATTCAACATCATATTATAATATAATATACGTATACCCTAAGGGTGGTATATATAATATATATAGCATATAAGCCACTACAGCAGTACAGCTGTAACCAAGGTGGGCATCCGCTTGAGACGGATAGGTAGTAATAACAATAACTAATAAGTGAATTTTTTTCTTACGTGAACCAATTTTACCAATAATTGCATGAAGAAATAAGCGAATATTTTGTTTTTTAATATTAATAACAAATATGGGTAAGCCACCCTAAAATAACTAGCTCCAATCTATTATCTTGAATCGTAATAATCGGTCGAGTATAAACCATACACTACCTAGTGCCTCTGATATTAATTATAGAAATAGTGATAGGTATTATTATAATATACTAATAAATGTTTCTCAATTTTACATTTATATTGAATAGCGTTATTAACCTAAATGACAAAATTTAATACGATACAGATCATAATAACTAGGTATTCTTTTATTTGTAACCAATATGGCGATAAAATACAATATTTTTTGTCAAGAGTCGAAAACTATATTAATGTGCGACTGTGAGCTACCCTTCAGCTTCTTATAGGCCATAGGGGTTAAACAAATACGCTATAAGCACCCTCCACGTCTCGTTTAATCTATTGATATAACTTTTACATCAATCGGTAAAATCGTTCTAAAGTTACTGAAATGTAACAGATTAACAGAATATACTCAAGAATTATATATTTGAAGATTTATTATAACTATCTGTAGACTGTAACCAATGGAAACCCGGCGAAAAAATGCCAATATTTCTACTAATCATAATAGTAATAATATATAGTAACAACTTGAAAAAAAATAAAAATAAATATTTTTTTGAATAAAGCGCGAGTGTATTAAGTTGAATCTTGAATGAATCACCGGCCGGTATTATTGTTATAATGCTTAAAAATTTCAATAAACGAAGTTACATGGTGACCAAGTATTCAATACTTGGTTCCCACATAAGTATTGTGAAAACACTTCAGTTCCCATGCTTCAGTCGTGCATAAAATGGTTCCTATCTAGCTAGATATAGATGTAGTATTCATTTTACTGGATACATTTTTATTTTTTTTAAGTACTCCCAAAATATTTGGTGGTTCAAAACTTTAAACGGATCTTTTTAATCGCGTATTTACTCAACGACCATAGAGTATACGGTGACTGTAGATATCAATATATAGATGTAGATATCAATTAGGTAGGCCAGTGGATTAGATATTAAAAATCATACCTAAATGAAAATTAAGTAAAAAGACAACAAAATAAAATAGAAATCCAATCAATAGAAACATTGATAATTTCAATTTTCGTGTTGATTAACATAGTAATACAATTCGAAATGTGAACAATTCTATTTTATTTATATCAATATGTATGTTGCGGCTTGCTTAGGGCTGCCAGATTTTGAAATTACCAAACCGGGACATCATATTGAATAACCTTTTTTTGCTTATATGGGAATAGGTGTAATATCCTTTATTTTATTTAAATATTTATTAGCTAATACAGTTTATTTTCCATTAACTAGGTAACTACTAATAATATACTATTACTTATATTATGTGGCTGACGTGACGGAATTTCCATTGCGCAGTTTCAATCGGGACATTTTAGTCTTTAGTCGGGACAGAAAGATCAATAACGGTGACGGGACGGATGGCCACACTAGACGTATTGCTATGTAGTATGTATCTCGGCTCAATGCACAGATATATACAATAAAAATAAAACATTGTATATATCTGTGGCTCAATGTGACTACATATTATAATCTATAGTATTTACCAGGCCTATGCAACTCAAGAGTTTATCTACATTCTACACAAAGAACTGTTGTCGATTTCGCACTAAAAATCCGGATCTAGCGCTCTGCTGCGCTCTAGTGGTTAATATTAAAGCCAACGATCGTCTATATATTTATTGTATAAAGCTAGATGGTACACTAAGCACATCAATATTATTATATTATATATCATGGTATATAATATATATACATACCTATAAAAAAAAGTAATAAATAGTAATAAATAATAATATTATATACCTATTACGTAATGTAAATATATAAATAATTTGTTTGTAGCTTGTAGGTACTTACTCATAGGCGTGCGCACGGGGGCAGCAGAGGCAGCATATGCTGCCCCTGGACTTACCTTGAGGCCACCGGGGCCGGCAAATATTAAATAATGGGCCTCAGTAAAATTATATTTCCACAAAGGATTTTTTTTGTTTTGATAAACTATAGATAAATATTTTATATATAGGCTTGTAGAAAAGTTCACCTTTAGTGGCTTAATACCTTACTGTACAAGTACAACCTTTTATCCAAAAAGAAAAATAACCAATACAATTTTAATTTTGATATAAAATAGTAAAAAAAAAGTAAAACTATGGGCTGGGTTTAATGGTGAATTTGTAAAATGGGCCGAATTAATCTCTTGCTGCCCCTGAAACCGGAGGCTGCGTACGCCTATGTACTTACTACTTAGTTTCTACTTAAATTCTTTTAAAGTTAAATACTTTTGTTGTCGGACTTTTGTATATAATATAGGTACACATAAAAAAAAAAATTATTATATCTAGCCAGATATAGTTATAAAATAAAATTTTTTCAATCAAAATTTATGAGGTACAAAATTTAGACAGTTTTTTCTTTTGAGCATTTGTTTTGATTGTTTCTCGGTTTTCATTCCTTGACCACTGCTTCATTCGCATATTCAAATAGTATTTTATTGAGAATGCAAGAATGTCATATTTATGCTCTGGACAAGGAAACTGAAATCTTTGAAAATGGTTGATTAAGTCATCTACTGTTTTTTCATATACATCTGGACTGTTAAATTCTGAGGACCCATTCAATCAGTGGGTCACCTAATATAATAACCTATATTATAGTTTAGTTAATTTTTTAGCGTTATCAAAATATAATTTATCTATTAATTTTTTTTTGAATAAAACTTGTTATTTTATATATTATGTAATATTATGTTTTTCTTGACAGTTTCAGAAACTACTGGGAATTTTAAATGTTAACCTCCCAAATGCACGAACTAGACTCACTCACTCACTTTCCTATCAGGAAATAGGTTTCTTATTTCCTAAGTAGAAAATCAGACAATTTTTACTAGGTACCCCAAATGGGTAAATGTTGATGACTGACAGAAAAAAAAACATAGATACATATAATTAGTAAAATCAATAGCTTTTTTCGCTTCCCTCAGAATTTAAAATAGCAAGAATCGAAGTCCACGCGAGTGCTATAGGTATTATTTTGATTATAATGCTACATTTCTTCTGAATACTATATATTTCAAAACTTGTATTTAGTATTGACTTGGTTTTTTAATTAGGTTACACAATTAGTCATAAAATAATAAATAATCATCCTACATCTAATCACCTACCCAGGTACACACCCACCCACCGAATTTGTATGGGTTGCTGATGAAACACATGAACTATAGGATCACCGCCACTGGTAGGTACTACAGTCTATAAACTATATATTGGTAAAAAGAGTCCTTAATAAAGTTAAATAATACATTTCCTTAAAAGCCTTTCAGTTTAAGATTTCTTTCAAATCAAAAAATAAGCTCAAATAATTATTTATGTACCTACATTAGCTTGGTAACTAAGTATAAAACTTGATATTCTAAAATCTGTCCAAAATTCACTAAAGGAATAGATAATCTTAACCAATAATTAATTTAAATCAATAAATTTAAATTACCATTCCAGGTGTTACAAGTAGAGTAGCTAATATGTCATCATCTGTATCTTTATGAAATTCTTTGACAGGAGAAAATAGATTATTCTTACAGGGAACAGCTCCTTGCTTGATAATAGCATGTTTATATTTTTCCTAAGATTTAAAAAACAAATTAATACATTTTGACTTAGGTATAACTTGTACCTATTATAATAATATAACTTCTCACCTTAGTCAAAATATTGCCTGTAGAATCTTTTACAATTTTTTCTCTCACAATATCTGCCGAAGAAAAATGTTTTTCACAGATTCTCTGTCCAACACTTAACCCCTGAAAAACATTTCCCCAAGTTTCTAGTCTTTTACAAGTCACCACAAAACTAGTAATACCTTCAGTATTCTTTTTACATATACAACATAATTGGGGCATTTTAAATGAAAGAAGTAACAAAAATGTAGTAACTAAGACAATTTTTGA